AGGCGGCGTATCCGAGTCGGGCTCTGAAGACGGGCTCTACGAATGCCACCACTGCGCCAAGAAGTTCCGCCGCCAGGCCTATCTGCGCAAGCACCTGCTGGCGCACCACCAGGCGCTGCAGGCCAAAGGCGCGCCGCCAGCGCCCCCGGCCGAGGACCTACTGGCCTCGTATCCCGGGCCCGACGAGAAGGCGCCCCAGGAGGCTTCCGGCGACGGCGAGACGGCCGGTGTGCTGGGCCTGAGTGCGTCCGCCGAGTGCCACCTGTGCCCAGTGTGCGGGGAGACGTTCCCCAGTAAGGGCGCCCAGGAGCGCCACCTGCACCTGCTGCACGCCGCCCAGGTGTTCCCCTGCAAATACTGCCCGGCCACCTTCTACAGCTCGCCGGGCCTCACGCGGCACATCAACAAGTGCCACCCGTCCGAGAACAGACAGGTGATCCTCCTGCAGGTGCCAGTGCGTCCCGCTTGCTAGAGCGCGCCTCCGTCCCAGCCCCCCGAACTGTGCCTTCGCTTGGAGACCCACAAAGAGAGCGCGCCCTGCATGCCCGCGGCGTCCGCGCTCGGGGCGATCTCCCCCCTCCCCGTGAAAGTGTCGTCTCCACTTCTCTCGGTGTGGCGTGATGGTAACCCCGATCCTCTCGTGACTCCTTTTGGATTCCCCCTTTTGCGTCGTGTCCCTCCCCACACACTCCCATCTCCGTGGCGCAACAGGGGGTCAGTCTCCTGCACTGGGAGGAGAGCTGTAGGCGTTTGTCTTGTGGTTGGAAACCTCCGCTTGCAGGGGAGAAGCTGTTTTTCTTTCTAGTATTCGCTGTGTTCACGGTCTAGAAAATGCGGTTTGCTCTCGCCCACCAATCTCTGCTCTCTGTTTGTAGCGTACGGGTTGTTTTGGGTGAATCTTGAGGAATAAATGCCTTTATATTTCACAGGCTGTAAATGGAACTTCCCACACGATTAGCTTTATTATGGCTTGTGAACTGCTGGAGTCTGGCTTTACCTTTTTGTATGTGAACAAATCAAATTGCTTAAAAAAGAGTTTTCTTTAGTATAGCCACAAATGCCTTGAACTGTTGTCTGTTTGGGATTGTTTTGGGGGGAGGGGAGGGAATTTTCAGAAGATGCTGTAGTAACTGCCTCAATGTTTCACAGACTTTTTTTGGTTTGATCATCTTTGTTGAGGTTGGACTATATGAGTTCCCTCTAAATGTATATGTTGATTTATGAGTAATTGTTATTTATTCTTTATTTATTTATATTAATTATGAAGATTATGATATTATTTGATTGCAGATCTTCTTCTTTTTTTTTTTGGTGCGCTTTCCCCCCTCGCCACTCGTGACATTTCACTGTGCATTTTAGAAGACAGCCTTTTTCTAAAGGGATCTGCTAAAAGTTTTAACTTTTGTACCTATCTGAGCGAATTACAGACAACCGACCATTTTATTCAGCTTGGAGGGCCTCCGAGGCGCTCACACAACCGACAGCTCTTACTTTTAAATGCAATCTCTTTTCTACATACATTATTTTCTTAATTGTTAGCTATTTATAGAAAGCTTCAATAGAACTGTTTCAACTGTATAACTATTTACTATTCAAATAAAATATTTTCAAAGTCAAATTTTCGTGGACTTATTTCTGCATTGCATGGGTTCAACACGGATTTAAAATAGACCTGATCATGCTCTTTTTTTCTTAAGAAAAAGAAAACCCTGCCAGAGTCACTAGGATTGTGGATTTTTTAGAGCTGAACCTAGCTAAACCGCTGTATTCTGCCCTTGTCGCTGGAGGGTGTAGTCTCAAGAATTGCTCACTGGGGTCCTTAAAAATGTGCTGAAATGGGTTCGAAGGGGGGCCGTGGGCATCTGTTTAGAGGAATCTGTTCCATGTCCTTAAGAATCTATCCTTTTTACAAGAGAATGTGTTCTACACCCTTCATTTCCCCATTTGGACCTCAGGGTAACAAGTCCTCAAGTAAGCGAGTAGCTTTTGTTCCTTAAATATGAACTGTTAGAAAGTGGAAATGATTTCACAGTCAGATTTCCAAAATAAGGGAAGAAAACCAATTCACATTCGGATGCAGCGAAGTTAATCAAATGGGTTTTGGGAAAGGGCTCAGAAATAATTTTCCAATCCATTTTTAGAGCCATCTATTTTGGGGAAAAACTGGAACACCATCTGTTGGGGGTATTAAATTGAATAATAGGTGATTTCAGTGTTTTCCGTTATGTGTCACTCAACTCTTTGACGAACAGTTCGGACTTTCACCAGTGCGTGTTTCACAGAGTTTTTCTCTAGCTTGGAAACATTTGATTACAGAGCAGTGTTCCACATCACATATGTGCGTCCCCTTTTGTGTGTTTTTGTTATCCCCCCCCCAAGGCCCACCACGTCTTCTATCATTTGACTGCTAAAGAGTTTAGAAATCTATACAGTCAAGAGTAGCTGGAACGGTGGAAGGGCAGGCCACGAAGAACTTGGAAGGAGAAACATTGATGAAAGAGATCATTCTCAGCTTCCGCACCTTAAGTTTTGTGTGGAAGAGGCTTTAGGAAAAGGCTCGGCTGGCAGGAACATTGAATATTCCTCCCTTTTTGTGAGGATCTTGAAACAGACTCAGAATAACAATGAAGGAGGAAGACTACAGGTAACTTTCCTCCAGGACAAGTCGCCGATCCCCTTTTATGCCTGAGGACTCCATATTTTACCGGTTTGGATAATGAGGGACGACAGGTCTGATACAATATAAAAGCACAGGGACAAAGCAGCTCTTCAAACAACCCAAAAACTTTGAATGAGAAAAAGAAATATGCCCATTTGTGGGCTGGGACCTACTGCCCCTCCCCCCACCAATATGGAAGCTTTTAAAAATACTCTTTCTGAATCACACCCTACTTGAAAGGTCCTCTAAATGAGTCATTGTATGTAGGTTCTAGGGCTAGGAAGAGTTTCCTTAAAACCTGCAGGCCACGTGTGGCAAGTCTAGACCTGTCCACAGGAAAGGTATCTTGTCTTCTCTGTTGGGCTCATTGTTTTTCTTGTCCGCCATTGTAAAGCATAAATTCATCTAAGATCTATCTTTATGATATAATTTCTACACCCTTCATTTCCCCATTTGGACCTCAGGGTAACAAGTCCTCAAGTAAGCGAGTAGCTTTTGTTCCTTAAATATGAACTGTTAGAAAGTGGAAATGATTTCACAGTCAGATTTCCAAAATAAGGGAAGAAAACCAATTCACATTCGGATGCAGCGAAGTTAATCAAATGGGTTTTGGGAAAGGGCTCAGAAATAATTTTCCAATCCATTTTTAGAGCCATCTATTTTGGGGAAAAACTGGAACACCATCTGTTGGGGGTATTAAATTGAATAATAGGTGATTTCAGTGTTTTCCGTTATGTGTCACTCAACTCTTTGACGAACAGTTCGGACTTTCACCAGTGCGTGTTTCACAGAGTTTTTCTCTAGCTTGGAAACATTTGATTACAGAGCAGTGTTCCACATCACATATGTGCGTCCCCCTTTTGTGTGTTTTTGTTATCCCCCCCCCAAGGCCCACCACGTCTTCTATCATTTGACTGCTAAAGAGTTTAGAAATCTATACAGTCAAGAGTAGCTGGAACGGTGGAAGGGCAGGCCACGAAGAACTTGGAAGGAGAAACATTGATGAAAGAGATCATTCTCAGCTTCCGCACCTTAAGTTTTGTGTGGAAGAGGCTTTAGGAAAAGGCTCGGCTGGCAGGAACATTGAATATTCCTCCCTTTTTGTGAGGATCTTGAAACAGACTCAGAATAACAATGAAGGAGGAAGACTACAGGTAACTTTCCTCCAGGACAAGTCGCCGATCCCCTTTTATGCCTGAGGACTCCATATTTTACCGGTTTGGATAATGAGGGACGACAGGTCTGATACAATATAAAAGCACAGGGACAAAGCAGCTCTTCAAACAACCCAAAAACTTTGAATGAGAAAAAGAAATATGCCCATTTGTGGGCTGGGACCTACTGCCCCTCCCCCCCACCAATATGGAAGCTTTAAAAAATACTCTTTCTGAATCACACCCTACTTGAAAGGTCCTCTAAATGAGTCATTGTATGTAGGTTCTAGGGCTAGGAAGAGTTTCCTTAAAACCTGCAGGCCACGTGTGGCAAGTCTAGACCTGTCCACAGGAAAGGTATCTTGTCTTCTCTGTTGGGCTCATTGTTTTTCTTGTCCGCCATTGTAAAGCATAAATTCATCTAAGATCTATCTTTATGATATAATTATAATATAATCTGGTTGTTCACAAACGTACAAACGTGCTTCTTCATCCCCTGTGGAAATGTATTTCAGCTGACTAAGTACACCTTTTCTAAAATAGCAACCGAAATTTCATTTATGTGAGAGATTGAAAGATAGGGAATGGTAAATGGAGGATACTGACATACCCAGTGTAGAAGAAATAGAAAAACTTGGCCAATTCTTTCAAAATAATGCAATAGGAGTTAGGATATGCCAAAGAGGGACATTAGATGATCTCTTTTCTCATGTCTCCCTGGCTAATAAATTCATAGTGTTCTTACTATAATGTACTGCACTGAAACACACCTTTAACTATGCGAAAGATGCTGAGGCCATCCCGTGTGTTCTGAGCTTGCTTTCAGCTTCAAAGACTATCGGTGGAAACCTGCCCAAGGCTGCTTGCTGCTCCGTCCTGGAGTAGGTTTGATGGCAAGAGGGTTGGGGGTCAGGAAGAGTAGTAACAAGGTAAGGGAGGAAGGACTGATTGCAAAGAGGGAATAAAGGAAGGGGTTTGATGTTCATGGTGCCTTCACACCTCCATGCTCCCCCATGGATGTCGCATAATAAACAGCAAAAGGTTGTTCCCACTCCCTTGGTTCCAAAGTGAGCCTGAGGCTAAGACAACAGCAAGATCCACTGGTTTACCCCCTTTCTTCAGGTAATGTCCTCCTGGTTTTGCCTTCTCCTGGAGGCCTGGAGAAGTTGAGGCTTAAAGTCCCCCAGGGCCAGGGGACCAGCAGTTGGTATAATGGCTATGTAGCTGGGCTCATATGTGGTCAACCGCAGTTCAAGTCCCAGACCTGGTGCTTTAAACTCAAGACCTGGTGGCTTAAACTCACACCGGGCACGCATGCGTGTGTGCCCAAGATCCTGAGAGGAGAATGGAGGAGAAGGGCTTGTGACGTGGCCATCCCCCTGGGGGGGGTCGCTTGAGGGGGGAGGTGATTCTTTCTGTCTTTCTGTGGAGGTGATTCTCACTTTCTGTCTCTCTGTGGGGTGATTTCTGTCTCTCTGTTGCAAAAACCTTCACCTCACCATCCCCCCAAAAAAAGCCCCCAGAACCGGAATGCTGAACTGTTGAACTCCAAACTCACAGGCCCTCCTGTGGAGGCATCACTCCTGTGTCTGGACAGGTGATCTGCCTTCAGATGACGCTGGGGCCCATTCAGTTTGGGAGTACCCGATTGTAGAGTGGAAATGAAGCCAGGAGGCCCGACTGGATGCCAGCTGTGCAAAGCCACCTGTGAGCATGTTAGGATACCCTGTGGAGACCTGGATGCATGGGCTGGACAAGGCCACGCTAGCCGCAGGTGGACAGGGCCCCTTCTGGCTATGCCCAGATGCTGCTGATGGGGTGCCACATTTCTCATCTACCTCCAGCCAGGGCCCAACTGGAGTGGCCGCCTGCTCCCACAGCCACCCACGGAGTCCATGAGCAACACAAGGCGGAAGACTCAACAACCCCAGTCAGTAGAGTGCGTTACAGGCATTCCTTCTTCCAAAGGAGAAAGGGGCATCACATAGGTTTGCCCTTTGCTTGGTTGAGTCACTTGGGCTTCCTAGAGGCCTCTGTGTCTTCATCTGGAAACCACAGAGAAGACTCCTGGCAGATGACCTGAGGGGATCTGTGAGCCTTGTGAGACAGTGGGGAGGATTCCTGAGACCATGAGGTGAAAGGCAATCCGGACTCCAGAGGGAACAGGCACTCTTCCTATAGACAGGGACAGACTATGTACCCCTATAGACAGGGACACAGGGGCAGACTAGGTACCCCTACAGACAGGGGCAGACTATGTACCCCTATAGACAGGGACACAGGGGCAGACTAGGTACCCCTACAGACAGGGGCAGACTATGTACCCCTATAGACAGGGACACAGGGGCAGACTAGGTACCCCTACAGACAGGGGCAGACTATGTACCCCTATAGACAGGGACACAGGGGCAGACTAGGTACCCCTACAGACAGGGGCAGACTATGTACCCCTATAGACAGGGACACAGGGGCAGACTAGGTACCCCTACAGACAGGGGCAGACTATGTACCCCTATAGACAGGGACACAGGGGCAGACTAGGTACCCCTACAGACAGGGGCAGACTATGTACCCCTATAGACAGGGACACAGGGGCAGACTAGGTACCCCTACAGACAGGGGCAGACTATGTACCCCTATAGACAGGGACACAGGGGCAGACTAGGTACCCCTACAGACAGGGGCAGACTATGTACCCACAGACAGGGGCAGACTGTGTACCCGACACAGGGGCAGACTAGGTACCCCTACAGACAGGGGCAGACTATGTACCCCTATAGACAGGGACACA